ACAGTGCACTTTTACTTTCGCCCTCTGGGGGGAGCCTCGCTGGAAAATCAACACCGGTTGCATAGTATACCTTTAACAAATGGAGGCTGACCAGCAAACACCCTGTAGTTGTTAAAGACAACGCTGCAAATATAATTTGTGCAGTGAAGATAATGCAGCTCATGCATGTCTGAGTGAGTGAGGCTTCACTTTTTCACTTTTCACAAACGTTTTGCACTTATGAGACTTTTTTGTTTATATCTCAAGTTTAAACTATCTGATTTACAAGTTTGCACGTTGTGTTTAATATGACAGGAAAAAATTAAATACATGAGAGTTTTGAAACGCAGTCGAACCACTTTCATTATTGCAAAACGGATCGAATCGAAATTAATCGATTTAGAACTTAATTAATCAATATTGAATTGATCTTTGGTGAAAACACCCAGCCCTACACACTACATAAAGCCCCTGTCACACCTTGATAATTTAAACCATCTGATGCCTGACGTACAGAGAATCTGGCAAAAATGCATGTTGGATAAGTTATGAGTACGCTGAAACATGCTGGCATACGTCGACATACGGCAAGTACGTCGGGACATTTTGAGCATGTTTAAAATTTCTAGACTGTGATTGGTTGAGCTGGTTTTCATTGCGCTAAAAGACCAGAAGGGTCACGGAAAAGGTAGATGGAGGCGGTCGAGGAAAAAATGCAAAAACGAATTACATTTTAAAATGTGCGATTAATCAGATTATATATTGTTTTTAAATATTTATTTAGAAATATGATTTTTAAATTCATTTTTGAATTGCAGTAGATATAAAAATGGATTAAAAGATATGCTACGTTCACACCGGGCGCAGCAGAAGCAGCGAGTTTACATGCAAAGTCAATGGTTGACGAGCGTCAAGGCGCAGCAAAAGGTCCAAGAGCGCGTTTTGAGCAGCAGGCGCAGCGCATCGGGAGCGTTTAAGCATCTGGCGCGCGTGACGCGCCGCATCAACCAATCAGAGACGCTGATCTGGGAGCTGGCAGAAAGAGAGACAAATCGCTGATGGTACAGAGCGCTATGATCACTCCTCTGAAAGAGTTTATTAACGCCTAAATTAACTTAAAATGCTGAAACCTGCCGACAAAGCGTGTACGCTTTTATTATCCTTCCGCCTGCAGTTTGGATTATGTACATGAAAACCACCTTCCAGCCGCCGCGGCAAACCGCGAGGAGGCGACTGGGCCAGAGTGCTGTTGAATGGTTTTCCTACTGACAGCGCACCGCCGGTATGTGGGGGTCTGAGCGCCTCCGACAGAAATAATATTGGAAGGCAGGATGGTAATCTGGATGAACTGACTGCACTGATTACGTTTTCAATTGGAATTCTCACTTAAAAACATATTAAAACTACTTTATTCCCACTGATCACAGCAAATATA